CAGTGTTTGGAGAGAGAAATCAAAGCCATTGGCAACTTTTGTTTGAAGAAGCTTCTTCTTTAGAGCATTGCCCCACGCAAATTGAGTAGCTGATTCAGCCATTGCCATATCAACTTCAAACTTCACAAGTTTCTGAAATTTTTGTGGAGAAAGATTATTTGATGAAATTTTTACTAAAGATTTCATCAAATATTTGGCATACCTTGTTGCAAATTTGTTTGGGTCTATGGAAAATACTCTTCTTTTTCTCACAATTTGCCTTCCCATTCACTCAAAATTTAACGATGTGGGAATGAAAAAGATTGGAACTTGAACAACAAATTGAAGTTGGAAGAGAAAAAAATTGGTGGGTTTGGAGAAGAGATGGCAAAGGAGGAGTCTATGTTTATGTAGCAATGGAATGATCAATCATGATGGAGAGACTTGGAGAGAGAATTCCAAAATTAAAGAACGAATTTTTTGCGTTAAATTACATTTTAGTCCTTGGATCTCTCACTCGTTTATAAAGTTACGAATACATCTCTAAATTTTTAAATTTTCGTTTTTAGACTTTGGAAAGCATCTGGCAAACGAAACATTTTTTTGTAAGGATGTGTAAACATCTTTCGTAATACACATTTTAAAAACCTTGTGAGAAAGCTTGAAAGAGAGTCTAAAAAAGACAATATCGGCTAGTGATGAACTTGGACGGTTACATATGTACCGGTGAATTAGTTTAGTTAACGTAATGGTACGATTTAATATGGGAAAGAGGTCACATGGGTTCACATGCATGGGTTTTCCTTAGGGTTTATAAACCTACCTGAGATGGACCCTTTGGGCATGTGGTTATGCAAACAAAAACACCAAAACCCCACTTTAAATGCCATCACATGGATCTCTCTATATCATCAATATCAAACTTTTTGTATACTCTTTCCACACAAATGTTCTCTCTCTCTCTCTCTCTCTCTCTCCCCTCCCATTTCAAATCAAAACAGCTCATTTATGCCATTTCATAGCTCTTTTCTCACTAAATTTGGTTTTGGTTCTTTTCCCATTTTGTGGATTTATTTGTTTGTACTCCTCAACCCGTTTTTGCCAAAGGTTTGATCTTAATTCGGGTTTGTTTGATTTCGATTTTTGTTTACAACGATCTGAAATCTCTACTTCATGCATGTTATGAAAGTCTTTCAAAATTCATTCGGGTTTGATTTTATTAACTATTGATTCTCTTCAATAAAATAGATTTTTACTTGAAATTCAATCCATAAAACTTTCATTTATTTAAACTCAACCCAATCCAAAACGGACGAAGGTAATAAGGTAATAGCACATTAGCAAAAAGAGATAGAGATAGGACAAGGATGAGCAAACAAGTGTGGGTTGCAAACATTTGACGATCAAAATGAAAGGATGTAATAAAAATATAGCGATATCTCATCCAATTGGGACCTGAAGGAGGGAAGAGGCAAGAGAGGAAACACAATCTTTGAATGATTTAGGGTTAGCAGAGAAATGCATGTGGGCAGTGGTGGCCACAATTCATTGCAATAATGCTACATCTCACCAGCTGCATTCAATTTTAACCCTATTTTAGATATGGCTATGATTGGGATCATCTATATATTTGGAGGTGGGGTTTCTCATTTTTGAACTGTTATTTCATCGATTTATTGCACCGTTTCTTTTGGACGCCGTTTCGTTTGTACGGAATAACGATGCAAAAATTATAGATCTATCTAAGAATCTCGATCGATGATTAGACATTTGCGGTATTCCACCCCTTACCTGCTTTTGGTCCAAAGATGAAATTCTTAATGATAGTTGGTTGCATTCACCGATTTTCGCAATAATAGCCTGTTACACAGCATCATTAACAGTATTCTTAATTCCCTCTCTTCAATATCATTATGGGGTAAAGAAGGATCAAAAATAATAATAAAAAAAAAAACTTTCCTTTCTTATCACTATTAACAATGAATAATAATCAAAGGTCTTCTTTTTTGGGGAAAACAACAGCATATCAAATGGATAGTAATGTAACAAAAATGATGCGGCCTTTTGTGAGTATTCCCCATTTTTGTACTAAGACTACCTTTTTCGTATCCTTATGAATCAGATAATACGATGCTATTTCCGATGTTTGTGTTATCCCTATTTACTTTGTTTATTGCAGTCATAGGAATTGTGTTCACTCAATTCAATCAAGAAGCAATTGAGTTGAATATATTAGACAAATGGTTAACTCCGTCTATAAACTTGTTACATGAAAGTTCAACTGATTCTGAAAAATTGGTATGAATTTGTGAAAAATGCAACCTTTTCTGTCAGTATAGCTTATTTCGGAATATTTATAGCGTATTTCTTCTATAATCCCGCTTATTCATCTTTACAAAATTTGAATTTTCGTAATTCATTTGTTAAAAGTTTTACTAAAAATTTTTTTTTTGAAAAACTTATAAATATAATATATAATTGGTCATATAATCGTGTTACATAGATGCTTTTTATAGAATATCCTTAATTGGGGGCATAAGAGTATTAGCTGAATTAACTTATCTTTTTGATGGACCCGTAATTGATGGAATTACCAATGCGGTGGGTATTCTTAATTTTTTTGTCGCAGAAAGTATTAAATATGTAGGAGGTGGTCGAATCTCGTCTTATATCTTTTTGTATTTAGCTTATGTATTTATTTTTATATTAATAATTTATT